AAGAAAAAAGCTGGAAGTGGCTCTGTGGCTCAAGTGGTAGAGCGCTAGCCTTGAGCTGAAGAGCTGAGGGACAGCGCCCAGGCCCAGAGTTCAGGCCCATGACCAGACCCAAAAAAACAAAGAATCAACTGGCTACCAGTGGCTCACACCTGTAATCCTAACTACTTAGGAGGCTGAGGCTAAGATCTGAGGATTGGGGTTCAAAACCAGCCCTGGCAGGGTAGTCTATGAGATTCTTATCTCCAATAAACTATCAAAAAGAAAAAAAAAGCCAGAAGTAGAAATGTGGCTCGAGTGGTAGAGCACTAGCCTTGAGCAAAAGAAACTCAGGAACAGCACCCAGGCCCTGAGGTCAAGCCTCAAGACCATCATCAAAAAAAAAAAAAATGCAACATATTTCCCCTAAAACCTCCTAGGTCTACCCGTGAGGGATATTTTGGGAATTCACACCCAGAGGACCCAAGATACTTACCATGAGGCCTCCTCCCCAAAGTCCAGAGCCCAGCATGGCATGCCTGCCGATGAGGCCCCTCAATAGGTAGCTCACATCCCAGTTAGGAAAGAGGAGTGCCACGTTGGCCCCGGCAGCAAACAGGGCTGCAGTCCCAAGGCTTAGCCCCAGGATGCGGGAGCAGGTCCGGGAGCAGCCCATCAAGCAGGTGGACGACAGCATCTTGGAACTGGTGAAAGAGTCAGGATGTAGCACAGGATGAAGGCAGCCCAGAGCACATCATGCAGTGAGGGACTGTTACCACTAGAGCTGAGGAGCTTCTCAAACACCATGCTCCTTGTACATCTACTCCAGTGAATAAGCCTAACTACTCTATTTCCTACCACCCCCATTCTTACACTCCTGCCACCCCCATTCACACACACACACACACACACACACACACACTGCATTTCATGATTTCTAGTTGGCTAAAAGGAAAAGAAAAAAGAAAAGTGTGATCATGATGTCCTTTCTTGGTGCCTCTAGCCAACATTATCCTCTTTGCCAATCCAGTGAAATAAGAAAATAAAAAGAATGGCTTCTCAGCCTTTTGGCTAACATCAGTTATAGGATCTGTTCTTTTCTGCTTATATCCTCTGTTCAAGGACAAAATAGTAGATGGCTTTTGGATCAAAGAGAAGAATTAGGAGTTTCTCCATCTACTCCATAAGAACGGTGCACCCCCTTGAGGAATTTTTTTTTGGGGGGGCAGTTGGTCCTGGGGCTTGAACTCCGGGCCTGGGCACTGTCCCTCAGCTCTTCAGCTCAAGGTTAGTGCTCTACCACTTGACCCACAGCGCCACTTCCAGTTTTCTGGTGGTCTATTGGAGATAAGAGGCTTACGGCCTTTCCCGCCCAGACTGGCTTTGAACTGTGATCCTCAGATCTCAGCCTCCTGAGTAGTTAGGATTACAGGCCACCAGCACTCGGCAAGGAATTGTTTTTAAAGAAAGACAAGAAACGAGAAGAAGCAAAAGTTTCAGGAGTACACTCCTGTAATTCTGTAAGCTACCTGACAATCCTGAGAAGGATCTTGAGTTCAAAGCCAGTCTGCACTATATAGCAAGACTCTGTCTCAAATAAAACAAACAAAATGCATAAAGACAGGAGAGAGAAAAAGTAGCATTGCCTTTATTCACAGATAACATGATCATATATGTAGAAAATCCTAAACAGCCTGGTGCTAGTGTCACATCTATAATCCTAGCTACTCAGGAGATTAAGATTAGAGGATCAATGGGCGCTGGTGGCTCACGCCTGTAATCCTAGCTACTCAGGAGGCTGAGATCTGAGGATCGCGGTTCAAAGCCAGCCCGGGCAGGAGAGACCGTGA